CTTCACAAGGAGTGGACTGAAGCTGGAGTCAGTGCATCAAGAGTCACCACGCTCAGACGTCTTCAGAAAAAGGGCTACCAAGCCACTTCTGAAACAGAAACAACGTCAGAAGCATCTTACCTGGGCTATGGACAAAAAGAACTGGACTGTTGCTCAGTGGTCCAAAGTCCTCTTTTCTGATAAAAGTAAGTTTTTAATTTCATTTGGAAATCAAGGTCTGGAGTCTGGAGGAAGACTGGAGAGGCACAGAATCCAAGCTGCTTGAAGTCCAGTGTGAAGTTTCCGAAGTCAGTGATGATTTGGGGTGCCGTGACATCTGCTGGTGTTGCTCCATTGTGTTTTATCAAGTCCAAAGTCAATGCAGCCATCTACCAGGAGATTTTGTAGCACTTTATGCTTTCATCTGCTGCCAAGCTTTATGGAGATGCTAATTTCCTTTTCCAGCAGGACTTTAGCACCTGCCCACAGTGCCAAAACCACTTCCAAGTGGTTTGCTGACCATGATATTGCTGTGCTTGATTGGCCAGCCAACATGCCTGACCTGAACCCCATATGGAATATATGGGATAGGTTCAAGAGAAAGATGAGAAACGGTCTATTCAACAATACAGACGAGCTGAAGGCCATTATTAAAGAAACCTGTGCTTCAATAGTGCCTCAGCAGTGCCACAGGCTGATCGCTTCCATGCCACACCTCACTGATACTGTCATTTGTGGAGCCCCCGACCAAATATTGAGTGCATAAATGAACATACTTGAAAGAACTTGAACTTTTCTGTTTTGCAAATCCTTTTATTTTTTATTTTTTGATTGATCTTAGGAAATATTCTAATATTTTGAGATACTGGATTTAGAGCTGTGAGCTTGTTTGTAAAACAAACAAACAAACAAACAAAAAACTTTTGAAATATTTTACTTTACATGTAATGAATCTAGAATATATGAAAGTTTCACTTTTTGAAATGTTAAAAAAAATAAAAATAATACTTTTCACGACATTCTAATTTTTTGAGATGCACCTGTATATTCTTAAATTATTCTTAAATGTTCTTAAATTATTCTAAGAAACCTTTTTCCTCTTCAATGAACCTTTTTGTGGACTGGAAAAAAAAAACGTTATTTGGAAGCCGACAAAGGACCATTATTTTTGCAGAAATAGTTGAGATATTAAACTATATTAAAAGTGATTTATCTTTTCTACAGCATGATAATATTGCTTAATGCTATTTTTCCCCACTCACACGGCCTTGTTCATATTATTAGAAAAGGAAAATCATTTCAGAGATGGTGGAAGTAATTAGATTTTAGGAACGCTCATGAAAACAAACATTTTAATTTAGAATAATGTGCATAATAATGCTACAATTAAATAGGGAAAATTCTAATAAAGTAAAATTGTATTACATGTTTACTTTAAAACAACAGTTAAAAAATAAATAAATACTACTACTACTACTACTAATAATAATAATAAAAACCCTGACCAGTCAATTCACGGAATTCATTTTTGTGGTTGTCATGTGACTTCATTGTCACATAAAATAAGAGGGGGTAAACTGGCCTTAAACCCTTTTCAATACAGTGGTACCTTTTTCTGACTGCTATTTACTTTTCATTAAGCTAATGATGACCCTAATGCACACTGAAGCATAATCTGCTTTATCTGAAAGAGGGTCTATAATTGCTGGGGATTGGCCAGAGACAGGGTGTAGGGACTCCTCTGCGTGTGTGTGTGTGTGTGTGTGTGTGTGTGTTGAGTGTGTTGTGTGGATCGGGGCAGTGTTAGTGTTGATAAGGCCTCTTTGAAATGAAGGGTTTTGCGTGAGGCGAGCACAGGTTGCAGTGAATGCTGAGCGCTCTGCCGGCGCGGTCGGGATAATCCGTTTGGTTGATGTGTCGAGTAGCGGTCATGTTTTATGTGAACTGGATGGCTGGAGGCTAAGCGAGAGGTTTGGCTGGAGTTCTGAGACCAGAAATGCTCACAAAGGTGCTTGACTGTCTGAAGGTGATGGGCTATTGAAATATTGAGGGGCAATACAGGCTTCCTCTGTGTCGACTGACTGAAAATCACTTTTCCATTATCTTGCTTTTGTCATCCCTCGTTTGAAGCACAACTTCAAACCAGCATTCAAAGCAAACACATTCTGGGACATTCCTACAATGCAGTGCATTAC